GCACACACCCCGCACGTGGCCCCTCGAGGGGGGGAGGACGGCTGGCGCGGGGGGGGGAAGCCCCAGCTCGCGGAGCGAGGCGAGGGCTGGTGCTCTGCACGTCGCCGGCCGGACTTTCCCCCTGGAGCTCGAGTCGGGAGCCCGGCGACGGGGGGCAACGCCAACGGGGGGTCCGCCAGAGCGCCCCACCTTGCAGGGTCCTGCAGGGCCAGGGTCGCATCGACCCGCGCTGGGGTGCAGGAGCCTGCAGGATCTTGCAGGATCCTTCGCATTGACCCGGGCTTGGGTGCAGGATCTTGCAGGCTTGCAGGATTCTGCAAGGCCTGACTGACCCGGGTCTGGATTGACCTGGGTCAGAAGATCCCCGAGCGGGGAGGGGGTCGGGGGAACGACTGCTCGAGGAGGCCGAGCGCCCATGCTCTGCACGTCTCCGGTGTCTTCGACGGGTGGGGGGGGCCGGGGGGGGGGCTCGGGATCGCGGCTCCTGGCCGCCCGGCTGGGGCGGAGTTCCCCCCCCCCCCCCCTCGAGCTCGACGTGCCCCCAGAAGCTCGTTACCCTGCCTGCTCTTCTCTTCCTTCGCCTCTTCAGTTGGCACAGGGGGTTAAGTCGGGCATGTTCCTACACATGAGGAATATTCAAAAGTAGTCAAACAAAAGTCTGGGGGCGAGGCTTCGATTATTTTGTTGATGATCTTTGGGAGTTTGGTTTTGAATATTTTTCGTCCGGCATTCGCCTGTAGGTGTACATGCCCGACCTGAGCATAGGGCGCCCAATACATGCAGGTGTTGCTCGTGGGCCGTTGGCTGCCCGGTCCTGCGAGTCGCTCTCGCAGGGGGCCGTTTCTGGCCCGCGCCGCCGCCGTCGCCAGCGCGTCTCCTTGCGGCCTTGCCGCACCCGCCGAGTGTAGCTTTTTTATGGTGTTTTATCTCTGGTGAGCGATTCTCGCCCAGTTCCTTCGCGTCTTCATTCGACGCTTTGCTTTTACAGGGTAGCTGCTTTTCTTCCTGTTCCTCCCTCCTCTTGGCTTCTGCCGCGCCCTTCTCGGCTGTGGTTCGGTCGATTTCGGGTACGGTTTCGTTGCGGTCGGTTGTCGTCTGTTTCTCTGACGCCGCAGGCGTCTGTGGTCCTGGCTGCGTTCCATTTTCAAAGGTCCTCAGGACTTGTGTTGTCCCCGTGTGCGTATACCCCGATCAGGCCAACGTGTAGCACGCAGCCTGTGTCGGCCTTTATCATTGCACATCATGCGTCGTATTGGCGGGCTGCGGTGGACAAGCACACGCTGGCGCCGACATAAGCTTGCAGTATCATCGATATTCTCGCCCCAGCCGCCCATACACACGAGGGGGCGCAAGAAGAGAGGTGGAGCTGCACGCGTTGCGCGGCTTCGGGTACATAACGTACGAGTCGGTAGAGGCGGTAGACGCCTGCCTGGAGAAGTACGAGGACCCGGCTCGTCCCGGAGTGGAGCGTCTCTCGGCGCGCACATGCCCTCAGATCTGGGCGACGCAAAGCATCGCGACGCCTGGTTTGTCGTTGTTGCCGGCCTCTGGGACCAGGGGCCCTCAACGACTCGGGAGGAGAAGCAAGCCCAGGAGAACTGGTCGAGATCCCCGTGGGCCCACGTGGCGAAATACTTGCAACGCCTGAGGTTCGGCGGCGAGCGAGGGGGGGGGGAAGTGGGAAGGAGAAGGGCTTCTCAGAAGGCGGCGGGGCTTCAGAAGCCCTCGCGCCTTCTGACAGGTTTTTGTGCGCCGTCCAGGAAGGCTCAGAAAACTTATCAGAAGTCTGGGGGACTTCCGAGCCCTCTGAGAAGGCCTTCTCCTTCTCACGTCCTCCCCTCGCTCGCCGCCTAGAGGAGGAGAGCACGGGGCTCGGCACTGGCGGGAGTCAGCCAATGCCTCCTGGCCCCCGCTGGCTGGCCCGGGCCTGAGTGGAGCCGACCCCGCCTGCTCTGCCTCAGTTGGCCAGGATCTGGGAGCTGACTCGTGGCCAGCCAGGGTTCGCGACAGGTGCCCAGGCCCCCTCGCGTGGTGACAAAGTCACAGCGGGAGGTCTTTCGCTAGGCTCGGCCTCCCGCGAGGCCCTCACCGGGCCCGGGGGGCCGTCAAAGAGCGATTCAGGCTGACACGCCGGTCCCGGGGAAGGGGCCCAGACCTCTGGGAGTCGACGCTGCGAAAAAAACACGACGCCGGGGGTCTGGGTATTTGACTGACCCGGGTCAGCGCTGACCGTGGTCAGTGCACTAAGCGTGGCCTAAGTCTAGTCCAATTGTCGACCAGTCGGGCGCAATTGCCGCCGCCTTGCTCTTGCGCACCACCCGAACGTGGAAGCGATAGGTTTCCAGGAAATGTTGCCGTATTCTTCGCCTCCGTTCCTCCCTTCTCTTCAGCGCGTGCTTCCCCAAGACGTTCCATCCTCCAAACTGCGACCTCGGCCAGCACTTTACTTTGCCACGTTCTGTGCGGTGGCGCGGCTGAGCGGAGGCAGGAGGATGTGGGATGAGCAGGAGAAGCATGAGAAGGACAAGGTTAAGGAGGACAACGATGACCGATGACGATTACGATGGCAATCAGGAGTAGGGAACGGAGATGGGAGAGGAGGAGGAGGAGGAGGAGGAGGATGAGGAGGCAACAAGGACCACCACTTATGCAAGAAGTGGGTTGAGGTGAAGAGGCCAGTACCTTAGCGGACCCCGATCAGGGTTGAATCTTTCCTTGAGCCCGTCAAAGGATGTTCGGAGACAGTGTTACATTGACAGAGGTGCTCACCCAGGGGCCACGCCAGTGACCAGACACGTTTAGACGCGCCAGATCCCAGTTCGGAAAAAACACTAAGAGCACTGCTACGAACTCTCAATACAATTTTGCGGGAAAGTTGGTCGTGAATGGCACAATGAGCTTGGACATACCGCAGAGACAGTCAACGTAGCGTCCAATACAAGGTGTCAGCAAGCTTGGCTAACCAGTGAAACGAGGTGCGTAAACGTAATTGTAACAGCAGTGGTAAGTCACGGCTTGTGGCTCACGATCTCCAACTGATACGCCGATCCGAGCTCAAAGGCCGTGATCTCATCCAATTGTGGATCCGCAGGGAGGTGCGGGCTTGCATTAACACGACATGCGTGTGTATCGTTCATGTTGTCTTTCCTGTATGCCTGATTGTTTGGTTGCCTTACTGTTGGCCCGAGGCGACGGCGACGTCTTCTGCAGCGGCCCGACGCATACACACACACACACACAACACAACACAACACAACACAACACAACACACACACACACAACACACACACACGCACACACACACACACATCTGCAGCCGAGCGCCGCCTGCTCGTCTTTCTCCCCTCCCTCCTCCAGCCGGGCAGGGAACTACGCCTCTTCCCCCTCCAGCAGCAGTTGAGCCCCGGACCCCACCAGGGGGCTCACCTCGACACACAGCTCGAGGCGGCGAGTCCAGCCGCGGCGGCGAGGAGCCCCGCGGAGGCCCAAAGCGGACGAAAACGCCCGAAAGCCTCTATCCTCGAATCTCAAGCCTTGAACCTCGATCATCTTTCTCCTCCTCGTCCCCTGCCTCCTCCTCCTCCTCCAGCTCCTCCTCCTCCTCCTCCTCCTCCTCCTCCTCCTCCTCGTCCTCGTCCTCCTCCTCGTCCTCGTCCTCCTCCTCCTCCTCCTCCTCATCCTCGTCCCCTGCCTCCTCCGCCTCCTCCCAACCAGAAGCCCCGATCCTTCGCGAACCTCGATCCGACGTTCCAGCAATCTGACGACGTGGTTTGTTCAATTCGCGGATCCAGAAGTCCTGGCCCTTTCCACTGGGTGGTTTTCTCAATCCTTTTTCGTCGGGCCTTCGTTTTGAATGAAGCATTGCTCGCACGTCTAGTTCTCCTCCCGCCTTCCTTCCTCTTCTTGCCTTCTGCCTCCTGCATGCATGCGTCATACCGCGTAGCGATGGCCAATTGCGCAACTGTGGCCACTCTTGTGGACTCGCGGGAGGCTCGGTCGAGCAGGGCTGCACGGACTCGGATCCAGTCGAAACATCACAGTTCGATGGGGGCTGCCGATTCGGAACTTGTCGCTGTCTTCTTGGGCCCTGTGTGTCCATGTGAGAGCCGCCAACTGCGCAGCAGTCGCCCATCTCGTGGGCTCCCGCGATCCCCAGCGGGGCGGGAACGTGCGCGGATCCAGGCGAGGCTTCGCAGCCCCAGGGGGGGGGCTGCCGAAAATGCGTAGTTGTCATCACTGTCGCGCGCTCCCGGGAGGCCCAGCGGCGTGGGGATGCACGCGGAGCCAATCGACACTGCGCGGCTCCTCGGGGGGCTGCCAACTGGGAAATCGTCGTCACTGTCGCGCGGTCCTGGGGGGCCAAGCGAAATGGAAGTGTAAGCGGATCCAGTCGAGTTCTCGCGGCTCCCTGGGGGTCTGCTAATTGGGAAGGTGTCGCTACTTTCGTGGGATCCTGGGAGGTCAGCGGAGCGGAGGTGTGCGCGGATCCAGACCAGATCTCACGGCTCCCCGGACTGCGCTCGTCGTTGTCGTCCCTTTTGCGGTATGGGTCGCGAGAGTGCGTGCGCGAATGGGTGGCGTTGAATGCTGTCCGACGCTGCTTGGCGAAGCTTTCAAGAGTGCTTCAGATCTCTCTCAGTGCGATTGTGCTGCATGGAGTGTTCCTCTTGATAGCCGCCTCGCGTTCAGAAAGGGCTGGGCACGTCTCGGGGAAAGTTTCGCCCCGGGCCAGTTTTCGATGGCCCCCCCGGGCACCCGAGGACGGGCTCTCTCAAGAGCCCGAAGTCCAGCAGAGACGCCAGGACGGCAGGAATCGTGTCGCCGGAGGGTTCGACTGCACGACAGAGTGACCCTTCGCCAGAGTGGCCTCTGGTGCGGGCCCAGCAGGGTCCTCCCGATCGCCGAACGCGAGGCGGCGGTGGCGTCTGGCGCGCTTGGGTTTGGCCCCCCCCCCCGCGGCCCCCAGGAAGGTCGCGCACCAAAGGTCACTCTTACCCAGGGTCGCTCTGGCGTGCAGCCGAGAGCGGCGAGCGGAAGCGGGGAAGTGAGAAGCAGAAGGCGGCGGGGCTTCTCCGAAGGCCTCCGGCCTCCTGAGAGGTTTTTGTCTGGGTCTTCGGGGAAGGCCTCCAAAACTTCTCAGAGGGCCAGGGGACTCCCGAGCCTCCTGAGAAGGCCAGCCCAAGGCCGGAAAAGCTTTCTGTCCAGGCCTCCCAGCTGGGGTCGGAGTAGATAGGGTCGGAGAACCGCGCCGCATCGCCAATGCATCGTCGATGCATCGGCGACGCATCGGCGATGCATCGGCGATGCCAGCGTGGAGAACATCGGGCTGCACATCGAGCCGCATCGCCGATGCATCGGCGATGCGGCGCGATCCTCCGACCTTATCTACTCGGACCCCATCTGGGAGGTTTCGATTTGGGGAACCAGCCAAGACGCCCGAACACTTCGGACAACGAACCTCGAGCTTCCAACCTCGACGCGAGGAGGTCCATGTCGACGCTCGGGGGGGGAGCGTTGGGCTCCCCCCGCTCCCCCGTCTTACTCCTCCTCCTCCTCCTCCTCCTCCTCCTCCTCCTCCTCCTCCTCCTCCTCCTCCTCCTCCTTCCGTAGCCATTTTGGCTCAAGCTTGGGCTCAAGGCCCCCGTGCTCTTCAGCAATCATTTCACGTCCGCCTGGGTCAGCCTGCCAAGGCGTCCCAGGCTTGTGCGCTCGTCCTACGGAGCCCTGCGAGGGCCATCAGTGCCCGCCATGGCGCCAGCTCCGTGGTGGAAGCAGCCTCCCCAGTCCGCAGGTGGTCCAGATTGGGGGGGTCGGGCACTCTTGGTCTGTCGCGGCAGCGGGTAACAAGGCGGGCAAATCTAAGAAAAAGAACTCCTCCTACACAGTGTGCGCTTGCGGCCATTGGACTTATGACCGTCTTCTTGCACGTCGCCTCTACTGTGTTGGGTGTGGTGAGCCTTTGCAGCCAGGTTCGGGCGCGCGAGGCGCTGCCGCTGGCGGACCTGGCGGAGTCGGCAATGGTCAAGGATCTCCTGTGGTCGTCGTCGAGAACGCCAGCGCGGTGGCCATCAGGAAGGCTGCTGGTCTCCTCCCCCCAGACGAAGCTACTGCGCTGCTCAAGGATACTGGAGTCGAGTCGGCTCCTCCGAAGGCGCCCGAGTTGCCGGCCTTGCCGGAGTCGGAGATCACGGCTGCGGAGGCTGCCAAGCGCTGGGCCAACAAGGCGCTCGACAAGGCCTTGCACGAGCAGCTCAAGGCGGAGCAGTACCTCCAGGAGGCCCAGCAGAAGGTCGACGAATGTCTCCGCAAGGAGCGGCAGGCTCAGCGTGACCTGGAGGAGGCCACCAAGCGCCACGCCAAGAAGGTGCTCCCTGCAGGCTTTGAGGAGAAGGCGCCTACCGCCTCGAGCAAGTCGGTGGTCCACATCGAAGCCTTGCTCGCTGACCCCGAGTCCTTGGAGCTCGATGTTGGGGAGGCGGTGGACCTCTCTGGCCCAGAGTTCTCGGACCATGATCGCGAGCAGTTCGAGAGTTGGGTCACCTCGCACAAGCAGAACTGCGCCAAACTCCTCAAGCAGGCCTTTGAGAGCATCCAAGAGGAGGCCAGGAAGGCCCAAGCAGAATATAAGAAGCAGACTGAGATGTTATCTAAGAAGCGTAAGGTCGGAGAGGCAGGCGAGGCTGCCCCACCGGCTGCCCCTGCTGCGCCAGCCTCCTCTGGGCAGGCTGCGGCAGGCGGCGGACGCGCCCCTGCGGCGGGCGCCCCAGCGGCGTCGCAGGAGAGTGCGGGCGAGGTGCGCAGAGTGCCGGTGCCAGCCTCTGGTGATGAGGACCTTGACGAGATGCAGAAGCGCAAGGCCGCTGCACTTGAGGCTGCCAAGGCCAGGGCGGCCAGTGCTGAGGCCAAGGTCGAAGGAGCTGCTGCTGCCAAAGGGGCCTGTTCCTGACGGGCTTGCCCTCGTCTATGGCAACATCAGTGCTTGGGGTCCCCAGGCTGAGAAGTGGTTGAAGGAATGTCGAGCGGACATCGTGGTGTTCGTGGAGACGCGCACTCGTGACTCCAAATTTCGTGACATGCTCAAGTGCGTGGGCAAACTAGGCTGGTGCTCGGTTGGCGGAGAGGCCGACGCCACGGAAGCTGACGACTCCAGTGCAGGAGTTCTGATTTTGGCCAAGAAGAACCTTGGACTGTCTTCTCTGTTCTTGGAGGCCTCGGGCCGTTGGCACTCCAGCAAGTGTGCGAGGTGGTGTGTCGCCACGGTCAGGCTCAAGCATGTGACCCTGACGGTCGTCCCCATCTACTTGATCTCAGGTGTGAGGTCTACATGTGTGTCCCGCAACCTTAGCCTCTTGTCCGAGATTGGCTCCAGGCTCTCGCAGGTTGCTGGGCCGCTTCTGCTGGTGGGCGACTGGCAGATGGAAATTTCCGACCTCGCGTCCACGGGCTTCATGAAGGAGCTCGGGTTGGTCGAGGTGCCCAGCCCAGACGTCTCTGTAACTTGCACTGGGGGGCGAGGAGCCGCGAGTAAGATCGACTATTCCCTCGTGAATGCGGGCTTCGCCCAGGCTGTCAAGTTCGTCGGCGCGGACCAGAGTGCTCCTTGGGGCACGCACTTGGCGCTGCAGTATTGGATTGCGTCGCGTCCTCGATCCATTCATGGCTGGAAGCTGGTTG